CTTTGTTGATATTTTCTCTGTTTGTATTGCATTACATTGCAGTAAGAAGGCTGGCTGGGAGAAGGGATCAGCTGTACTTGAAAGTTCAATTCTGGATATTGCTAAAATATCTGAAACTGAAAGAGACAAACTTATAAAGACGCACATGGTATGACTCTCCTTCACATACATTCGAGTTGACATTTTGATTTATCTGAAATGAGGTGTGTACTATGTGAGGAAGTTGCTAAAAAAATGTCTTGTTCTATAGAGAAATGCTTTCATGAACATCACATCTAATTGCATAAGTTTGGAATAACACCTGTTTATCTGCATAGCAGTGGTTCCTATGGAGAGTAGTGTTTGGTGCAAAAATGTGATATGAGTGTTTCATTTTTTATGTCAATGTTACCCCACTTTCACATGAGAAATCAGTCTTCTTTCCCAAGTTTTATCTAAATAATTCCACCATATTTTTATGCAGGTTTCAATCGTCAATACTATTTTCTCTCTTGCTTCAACAGCTGAAGACCCTGTTCTACCTTTATTCTCCAAGGAGACAATTGCACGTGCAATTAAGACAGTTGTGGATGGATTTTTGGAGATGTGCTGTATCTTCTCTTGGTCATTTTTTAAAATTATGTTGTTGTTGGCATGTTTTCTCTAAATTTTCTTTTACTGCTTTCTTGTAGAGACGCCTCTTGTCAAAATATTGGCCTTATTGACAAGATTAACATCTTCCGACCAGATCGAGTATTTACGGTACTGCATGCGCATATATAGTTCTTCTTTGAAATTTTTGTTTGGCTATACGTCTTATCTAATAACTACTAGTGGGAAGTTTCTAAATATTTCATATTGCTGTGCAGTTTTTAGTAGAGATGCATTACAAAGTTTCTGCAGCTGGTCATTTCAGGCACAAATCTTACAGGCTTGCTGGGGTTGAAGTACTTATTGATGTATTAGGGCATCGAGTTACAGTTCCTAGTACGGCCAGGTAAGTTTAATTCGCCTTGTGATAGATGAAACCATTTACCTGATCAAAAATTAAAATTAAAATTGGAGGATTACGCCTCTGCTTAGGGGGACAGTATTTCATGGTGAGGACATATTCGTTTCTCTTGTTAGTTGTGCACAGGCTGACTGAGAAAGGTCATCTGAGTAATGCAATAGCCTTGTAATTTTCTTCTTGTGTTAGATTGGAATTTCAAATGTTGATATTGAACATTTCCCTTTGCTTTTTATGTTTTGTCCAATATAGCTGCTCATTTATTTTGAGACATATGGATCGTCAATGTTAGGAATCTATTCAAACTTACAATTGTTTTGTATTTTGAATTAGATCACGTTGATGCATTTTCAGTATAGACTGAGTGCAGTTGTCTGAGCTTTTGTTTGTCCTCAATTTTATATACAACACATGGCTGATCTGAGGTGGCGTTTGTATGCTTTAGTTGTGTGATTCCCTGCATTGCATAGGTGGTGCTACATTTGCTTGATTTGCATAAAACATTTATTTCATGATAAAGAGGATATCGCATCTGACATTTTTTTTTTTCCAGTTATCTCCTCAACTTGATTGGTCAATGCTTGGACCTTGATGCTTTGCTGGACCAGTGTTGCCGAATGATTTCTTCAATGCTAAAAGTATTCAAAATCAAGCAATTGGAGGGAACTGCTATTGTCTTAGGTGAACAGCTTCAGGTTGATGTCGCTGAGGCTCTTATTTTACTACTTATCTATATTATTTACACCTTATTCTTCAATTGTGTTTAACCTTATGCTATTTCTTCCGTACAGTTCTTAATCTCCAAGTTGGTAATGTGTTGCGTTCCTTCTGAGTCTAGTTCCAAACTGTCAGCTGCCACATCATCTCAAGTTCTGTCACTGCTCTGCCAACTCACCTTGGACTCTGATCCATCTCTACACGAGTACATTAAAGTATGAATTTCTGGTATCCTTATTACCTGAACAGTTTGGACCATCGTAGTGCCCGAGTAGACTGTGCACTACTCATTTGGCCATACTAATTACTGCGTGTGTTACTTCAGGAACTAGAGCCCTTCCCTAACCTCGACTTATTTCATGATATAAGGATGTTTCATGAGGAACTATGCCAAAATTACTCACCTATGGAGCACTTGTTAACTGTAAGTAGCACTTGGAACTTCAATGAACAATTTGATGACCTTGTTAAACAGATCCTGGTCAAGTAAGGTCGTTGTTTGATGACCTTTCATTTTTCTATGCTTAGTTTTATTTATCAAATTCGTCTGTTTCAGTTAGGGAAACGATCTCGTTACCTTCCGCCAAGATTACTTCTCTGGAGGTAATTGTTCTTTTACAGCCTCTACTTTCCATATTGTTTCTGTTCTTGTCTCATCAATTGTGATCCTTTTAAGCATTACTTGGTTATGTGGACTAACTTTGAGTTCTGTGTTCTTTTTTCCTGCACATGTGAGGTAGGTGAATAGAGAGTCGAACACTTGCTAATAAAGAACAATTACTTGTTAGTTTTAAATTAAGAAGTAAGAAGTGAACTTAAATGGGGCATATCGATGTATCTATACTATTGATAAAAGCTTCAATGCGTTCTCACTAAGTCAGAGATAGTCCCTATGTTGTATCCATTCTTCCCAAAATGTGGAGGAGAACACCCACAGCCACCTCTCCCTTTATCCCCACCCCCCCCCCCCCTCTCCCCTTACTACAATATTAATTGTGTCTCAATCCCAAACATGTTGGAGTTGGCTGTATGAATCCTCAGTGATCCCCTTGCGAAGTCTTTTTACTCCTTAGTAGTTTGGTTTGATAACTGTATTCTTTGAAAGTTTGATTTGATAACTGCGTTTTTGGTTGATTTGTTTTAAAGTATTCAGGTCTTCTCTAAAACAGGAAGGTGGTTGATCATTATTTATAGAGAGTGGACTGTTTACTATCACAGGGCAATAGTTATTGCACCTTAATATTTATCTACACAATTAAAATGTTAGTTAAGCCCTTTTATTTTATCCACCCCTAAGGTCACACCATTATTAATTTTTTAGGCCGTAAGCAACTACCTTAACTCAAAATTCCAGAAGAAAATTTGAGTCGTATTAAAGATAATAAGCTGGAGTGAAAATTCACAAAGAAAGGAAGAAAAAAAACCTATTTATCTAGTGTCCTATATAGAACGCTAGACTAACAAGAAAAATAGTTCAAAGTTGAGAAAAAAGATGTTAAAACAGGTGGAAAACAAAATTTAAATCTAAAATCACAATTTTAGGGAAGAATTCTAATTTCTTTCCTGTTTTCACTTAATTAAGCTTCTACTAAGAATCATTTCAATTGGGGGTGGCAAAATTAGAACATTAAAATATGATTCACCCAACTCGCATATATTATAGGTGGTTATTACCCGCCAATTTATTAATTCAGGCTCTTTGACCGTTCAAATACAGTCCATCTAAAGTTGGGCTAAATGTATAATTCAAATTGACCCATGAAAATCTTTGAAAAAAAATTAAAATTGATACTTTTTTAATTTGATATTTATTTATAGCTCTAGTAAAGGAGAAAACTTTATTGATTTTGTGTGGTAATTAAGCAAATTATAAACTCTCTATCTCCTTGCAATGTACTTTTTACTCCTAAGAAATTTGGTTTGATAACTGTACTCTTTAAAAGTTTGATTTGATGATTTTGGATTTTGATAGTTGATCGTTCTTTGAGCATTCTTTCTGGTGCAGTTTTTTTTTTGATAAGGTTCTTTCTGGTGCAGTTAAATGTCCTTTTCTCAATATTTCTAATTTTATATCTGTTAAGAATTCCCACATCGGAAAAGGGATGGAAAGTTGGTCTCCTTATATGGACTTGGACAATCCTCTCTTCATGAGCTAGTTTTTGGGGTTGAGTTAGACCCAAGATCCATGTTTACGTTGTATCAGAGCCAGACCCTTCCCAATTCTTTGTTCTCCGATGTTGGGGCCCCATTTATATTGTCCACGCTCGAATTAACGAGGTCTGAGCGTGCATGGGAGTGTTAAGAAGTACCACATCGGAGAAGGGATGGAAGTTGGTCTCCTTATATGGACTTGGACAATTCTCCCCTCATGAGCTTGCTTTTGTGGTTGAGTTAGGCCCAAGATCCATCTTTACACTATCCTTACAACTAGCCTGAAGTCATAGATGAGTTCACCATTCTGCTTCAGATTTCTTCCAATGTTATCTATTTTGCTCTGTTGCAAGTGACTTTAGCAGTGAAAATTTCTTCTCTTTTGGTGGCAGTTTAAAAGCATTACACAAGAAATTATTTGAAGATGAAGCTTACCCAGCACAAAAGAATGAGGAGAACATTTTTGAAGATGCATATTTGGATTCTGACCATGAAATTGTTCATACAGTCTGGAATCTGGTGCACATATGTAGTTTGAGTGGTGCTGGCAATTTTGGTGTGCTGGTCTCTGATTTTTTATCTCGGGTATTATTTTTAGTATTGCTATGTTATTGAGTTGTACCTTTTTCTGTTATTTCATTTATTTATCTCGGCTGTTTATTTATTTTTTTGTTTCTTCATGTATCTCTGTCGTCTGCTTTCTACTGCAAGTGCAGGTTGGTATTGGGGATCCCCACGGTGTTGTGTTCCATCTTCCCATTGAGTCTAAATCTCTACATGATCATAATTTCCACCTTGGTACGAGCATATCAGATGAACTTCTGTTGGCAATTATGAGGCTTTTAAAGAAATATTTGATGGATGACTCTGTAAAGATAATTGACATAGCATCTCAAGCTTTGCGGGTGAGTCAACATATGATAAATTGTGTGATATTATTTCAAGCAGATCTCTGCCAAACCCCATTTTTCCATTTGGCATGAATTTTGGATCAATATCGCTTATCTCTATTGTACTTGTTAATAAGGCTGGTCACTAAGAAGGAGGTTCAAACTTAGGCTTCATATCTAGTTACCTGAACTTATGTGCCAAGCGACCAACCAATCAGAACACCCTGCCTCCCGACCTGGGAACCAAAAAAAAGAGAGAAAAAGGTAATGCTCGGATAGAAGAGAATGGATGAACAAAAGGAAAAGAAAAGATTCTAAATGATTACAGAGAGTTTGATAAAGTGTTAGGTTATTAAGTTTCACAGCTCCTCCTTTGGCTGGATAAATGCTATATGATTGTCTCCTGAGTCCTGAAGCTACTCTTTTAGCTGATCTATTAATGCTGGAACTAGACGAGTCTGTCCAAATGAAGATAGTAAACAGAATATCTGTGTTATTGCAGGGATCTTATGACTCTTTCATGATGTTCATTACCTATGAGGACAAGTTCCTGTTCCTTAGATCCTTATTAATTCCTTGTCATTGGTTATATGTACAGTCTCCAGTGTTGCGCTTATGTCCCATCATCTTTGTTAGGAGATTAGCTTTGTCCATGCTTGAGATGTTAATTTCAGGTCAATACTCTGATGTTGTATACCCCTTGAAACCTTTGAAATACTTATTTCAAGTGTTGCTCTAGTAAAATTTTACACTGATATTTATTTCTGAGAACGAGGCCCTTTCCATATCTAATAAGCTTGAGATCATTCTGTCACGACCCAATTTGCATACCCATTAGGCGAACCCAAATGCATTTTAATTAAAAATGATATAAGTGACTAGAATATATCTTAAAGCAGCTAAATAGAGTATCATATAGAAGCACATCTAGAACCCATGATGCTTGGCAGCCTAGGCTTGTGCTGTCCCGACCCATTGCCTTGCGATCGCGAAGCACAACGTACCAAGAAAAATAAAGAATCTGCACTGTCCAAAATGTAGTTTTCCTGCCCAAAATTCACTTGAGCCCCTTGGGTCCCAGCCCGAATCATCCCCACAAGTCCTGAAACACTTGTTGAACCTATGGGAAGTCTCAAATCATGGACTGGGATGCAAATATTCAAACGAGGGGTTAAGATGTTACATGAGGATTTTGGTATGAAAGCTTGGTACTTTTATTGCTGTTTTCACGTATGTGGTGCAGGTCAGTTTTTGAGCTCTTAAAATTGGTGCTTTTTAAACCCTATTTGAGTGTGTTAGTAGGAGGCCTGATGCAGTTAGTCTTGGCAGAGAGTACCAAGAGCAAAGTGTATTGATTAACTAAAACATTTAAGGTGCTTAATTAAAGATTCTTCTTTAATATTCTCAAAAAAAAAAAAAGGTTCTTCTTTACTACAGTTGTAGCCATTTGATCTTGGGAGCTCATATATTGTAAAACCTGTGTCTACATCTTCTCATTTTCATTCTTTGAATGATTGTTTCTTTGTGCCATTCTGTATGGTTTCTGGAATAGTCATGGTTTTCTGTGGATAAAGCTCAAAAGATCTTTCAATTCTGTTTTTTTTCTCTAAAGCTGGTTTGTTCAAGCAGGGGATACTTTCAACTGAAAATGGTCAGAGGGCTTTGCTATCATTTGATTCTTATCAGAGATCCCTTATTGAGGTAGCTGAGAATCTTCTGTTATAATCCTTGCTGTTTCTTAAACCATGTATCTGATTGATTCTAACCTAAACATCTGCAGAAGTTGGATGGAACACTTAATTAACAATTTTTTTAAGTCAGCAGCTTTTCCTCTTGGACTGTATCTTGGATATAATTATATGCCTTTTATTTTGCTCGACATTCAATAATGTTAGTTTTATAATTGTGTCAAAAAACGTTCAAATTTAAACAATTGTCTGGGTTTTTTGGAATTACTCATTTGTTTCCCAATTTTGGCAATTAAGCTGCTCTTTGTGTGTTTGTAGGTTCATTCCAAGGGTGTCAATATCAACCTGGTTCAGAAACTCCTGGCAGATTTAGAAAGGAAGCTTAATGGTAGGATTCAGTTTAGTCATTAAGTTTATTTTATCAGCAAATGCGGTGAAGATTTGGAACTTTGTTCTGGGTATCATAGATACTTCTATGGATGCAAAATCTGTTATTTTAATGTCTTTCCTCAACTTGTTGTGTATTTAACTAATTCTTTCGAATGAAATTCCTTCCCGTAAGCTCTTGAATCTATAAGTTACAAGAGTTATTTTGTGTAGTGCTTTTAGTATTCAACAATAGGGAGGACAACTGATTCAAGAGTCTGTAGATGAAAATACAAGACAAGTTCCATAAATTACTTCCCTCTTAATGATATGATGATGCATAGAGATAATAGGAGAGACATCTCAATAGAATGGAATATACAGAGAATTCTTCATCCTTTAAAACAAATGTTTCACTTGCGTTTTAGGTGCATTAGGTTCTTATGCAAAATTATTAGCGCTCCCTTTATAGTTGATGTCCCACTTGTCTTTAGAATAACATTTATGTTTTCCCTAAATGAGTCTTTCATGGATTCCAAGTGCACTAGATCTTTCCAGCAGGGTTGTCCTAATTACTTTTTAGGTGATGATAGGTTTCATCGCTAGAAATAAGGGTTTCTTCGGCACATATGTCACACTATCCTTTGAATGACATTGTGGTTTCATGTAAAATGAAGTATCTTCTCTGAGTATATGGTCCTGTATCCTCTCTACAATTATGAGGTTATACCATGCGATCTTGCTACTAGATTTGTTTTTGATCAGATAAATATTTCATTGATAATTGTTAAAGAATGACAAAAGTCCCACATCGGTGGTTAATGAGATGGGTGGACTCCTTATAAGGCTTGGGCAATCTTCCTCCCTTTGAGCTAGCTTTTGGGGTGTGAGTTAGGCCTAAGACCTAATTTAACATGGTATCAGAGCAGGGCCCGTCTCACCCGATGTTGGGACCCCCAAAATTAAAATTGCCCACGCACCAGATGCTAAGCACTGGGCGTGAGGTGGGGTGTTAAAGAATGACAAAAGTCCCACATCGGTGGTTAATGAGACACATCGGTGGTTAATGAGATGGGTGGACTCCTTATAAGGCTTGGGCAATCCTCCTCCCTCTGAGCTAGCTTTTGGGGTGTGAGTTAGGCCTAAGACCTAATTTAACATGGTATCAGAGCAGGGCCCGTCTCACCCGATGTTGGGACCCCCAAAATCAAAATTGCCCGCACCAGATGCTAAGCACTGGGTGTGAGGTGGGGTGTTAAAGAATGACAAAAGTCCCACATCGGTGGTTAATGAGATGGGTGGACTCCTTATAAGGCTTGGGCAATCCTCCTCCCTTTGAGCTAGCTTTTGGGGTGTGAGTTAGGCCTAAGACCTAATTTAACAATAATAACAAGGCCATGTTGGCCATATATTAGAGGTATAACCAAGGAGGAGAAGATCTGGCTATAGAGTTAATTGGTCAGCAGCAACCGCCGTCACCTCAAAGTTGCCACCAGTTTCTTGCTGTCTCATCCAGCATTTACTTTCTTTCCCCTGTGTTTCATTCAAATACTACACATAAAAATTAAAAAAATGGCGCCATTGCAAAGCCAAAATCTTGAGGGATCTAGAAACGTAGGTTTTGCCCCTATATTGTGTTGTTTCCTGCCCGGGGTTACTTTGAGGAACCCCAGGACCTTGCCTCTCATGCCTTCAAGACTGAAGGAGGGAAGTTAGCAGGCTTAGTGTTTCAATCTAGTGCATTTTGAAGCGTAGTCCCTCCAATAGGAAATATGGGGTACCCTTGGCTTTAAAGAGAAATCTAGATCCCTGCGGAAAATGGTGCTAACAATGAATCTCTGCTAGTGAAGGTTTCTTTGGAAAACTGTAAGAGTTGTTCTACCAGGACTAATCTAAATGTCTGGAGACATAGATGCTCGATTAGTTCAGTATTACACTGACAGGTGTGCTGTTGATTTTGTGCATAATTTAAGCATTAACTAGATGGTATTTTGTTGCTTAAATTAACAAAAGGCTACATCAGTTGCCATCTTTTCATTTGTCTGTTTTCTTAATATTCTTGCAGCTAAGGCACTTTCACTAAAGAATTCTGCTATATGGAAGACTGATGGAAAAACATTCGAGACATGGATTTGTCCTCTTGTTTGTGCCCTGATTGAATATTGTGATGATAAGATCCTGAGGTAGTTTCTTCCCGGAACATCTATCCCTTTATTAGGACTATCAACTTCTTTCTTTTGTTTAAGCTGTTAGTAAGCCCCCGTGGTCCTTTCAGATTGTGTCAAGATATTGTGTTGGTGAAATTTGAAGTTGCAGAGCTCCTGTTCCCCCATGTGATGGTCAATTTATCGTGTAGAAGAGACGTGGATGTTGATCTTTGTCAGCTGATCTCCTCACAGGTTATTGTTACATTTTGTTAGTTGTTCCATCTTTATTATTTTGGGTTCTACTTATCTCAATACCTTTCACCATCTCATGATGTGGCATGAGCATATAAACAAAAGAAATTGCCTAACTTCTTTTGGTCAAACATAGAGCAACTTTTGTTATGATATACTTTAAGTATATGTTTCTCAATGGTTATTCTATTCATTTTGTTGCCTAAGCCATATAACTTCTTGACTGATTAATATGAATAGGTCTTATGTTTATCGTGTACAGTCTCTCTTATTCAAGTAATTTGCAGGTCAGACTGGGTTTAATTAGTCATGAAACTCACTAAAGTCTCCTTTTCTATTATTTCCTACATTATCCTATATTGGTTAAACAATCAAGAATATCTGTATATGACCTTGTTTTCTACTTCTATTGATATAATCCAATCTATTTGATTAAATGAGTTTGGGAGAGGGTGGTGGAGATGAGAGTGAGGAGAGGCGCGACTATTTCCGTGAACCAGTTCAGATTCATGCCGGGATGCTCGAGTATAGAAGCCATTTATCTGGTAAGGAGACTGATGGAGCAGTACATGGAGAGGAGGAAGACCTCTGTGGCGATTTGGGCATGTAAAGAGGAGGTGCGTGTTGGTAAGGAGGTGTGAGAGGTTGGTTGTAACAGGAGTTCATTAAGGTAGAGGTAGGCCAATGAAGAACTGGGGGGAGTGATTAGAAGACAAGACATGACTCAACTTTAGCTTACTGAGGACATGACCCTAGATAGAAAGGTTTTGAGTTTGAGGATTAGGGTAAAAGTCTAGTAAGTTGCCGAGTG